AATATTTTGCAATGATTCATATAATAATTATTCTTGATTTGCAGATTTAGATTGCTTATTACATAAATTTATTTTATTATTTCCATAAACAAGCTGATCAGAAGCATATACCCAAGGAAATTGAACAATGGATACTTTCTGGAAAGAAAGTAAACGTATTTTCATTTAAGATATAATTATGTTTATATTTTAAAAGAAAAACTCCATTATGTTTTCTGTTGAAGTCTAGGTAATTATGCAAAAAGTCTCTGAGTGGAACATATAGAAGAGGGGTAGAGTATATGATTAATTGGTTAGGTTAAGTACGTGGTAAGGTTATTTATGTCTATAACTATTTCCTAGATACAAGCAGCTCACCACAGTTTTGCCTTGCTCCGAATTTTATTTCATATACGACAGGACAATTATCTGTGAGAATGAAATTGTCATTTATTGAATACGGTAACACGTACAGTTAATGGCGAAAAAATACAATGTAAGTTTTACATACATGGGGTGAAATAAACAAAACCCAAACAATTTGTACAAATAAATATACATGTAAACATTTTACAAAATATGAACATATACGTTCTGATTTCCGCCATAGAAAATAGGTCACAATATTAGTTCCGAGTAGATATATCAACTTAATAACAAGAGGCCCATGGGCCTTATAGGTCACCTGAGTATCATGTTACAACTTTCCAACATTGAATTAAGTACGTGATTTGGAGTGGACTTACATACGTCATGCCTGATGTCCAATCCAATAATGTAATCCAACATAATATAATAGTTATTTAAAAAAAAGTACGTGTTTTAAGCCAAAAGCCATGAAATTCACAATTTTGAAAGAGGCACCATTTTTATCATCAAAATTTAACACTTAGCGCAAGCTTACTAAACACCCAGAGGTAGATCAGAGTAGCCAGGGGCCTTGAAATTGTCCGTTTTGGATAAAACACATATCTTCATTATAATTATTAATTAATTCATTCAATACCCGGGATCAAAGGAAAAGATTTTAAAAGAACCTATGCATAGTATTTAAATAATAAATAGAACCCCACCCTAACACCAGAAATCTTGACTAAGGGGCCATAAAATTCTAAATTTTCGAAGAGGCAGTCTTATTCAACATAGCAATGAACTTTGGTAGTTTATTAAAAACCTAGGAGCAGAGAAGATTTTCAAATAATTAACAATTTTTACCACTAGATAATCAACAGATCACAGCGCTAACAGCAGAACACCTGAATCAGGGGCATGATATACACAGTTTTTAAAAGAGAAATAATAAATTTGTACTTCGTTAGTTTACCTAATATCCAGGGGCAGTGAAAAAGACTTACAAAGAATTATTGTTTTTTTTTACTATATAACCAATTAATTAGGTCCCGCCCTAACACCAGAACCCTTGACCCTGGGGCAATGAAATTCACAATTTTGTTATAGACAATGAAAGCAAATGTTTAGTTGAATAAAATTCATTTTTGTTTTTGGCGAACGCGGCCACGGCCTTAAGGATGCCGGTTGATGAGTTGGCAAGCCTTAAAATCAATTAATTAATTAATACATTTTATTGTCATCTCTCACCTCTCATCTCTCTTATGGCTACTGCATAAATGATCGATGGTCTACGCCAGATGGAATATTCTAACTAGGTCAGCGCGCTGAATCAAAAATCACTAATGATCTGCCGAGGCGTGGATCCAAAAATTAACAGAAAAACAGCATCAAATTATTTTTCCTATGTTATTGAAATGAATCCAAATTTAAAATATACTGTAGACGTACTTTTTTCCACGGGGTCATAATTCCGCGGAATCTCAATTTCTTTTTAATCCGCGTGAAGAAAATTACTGATTCTCTATATGCCTTAACTTTATTTTAAATACGCTTGGACAAATTTCCGCGGAGAATTTGTGACCGCGGACATAGCATAAATTAATACCACGCGGAAAAAAGTACTTCTACAGTATTCCTAAAACAGTCTTAAATTCAGGGTTGGCAGATAGGGAATTTTTTTCAGATAATTTGTGAATGCTTAATTTTAGCTGATATAATTTAAATTTTACTATCGTATTACCTCTAATTAAAAGTGCTAAGTGGAACTTTGCCAGCTGTTGTTATTATCTTGAGTGTGTTTTTTGAATAAATTAACAAATAAAAATGCATCTTAAATTCTTTTAGTTATAATTATATGATATTTCTTGGCTGAATAAGTCTTCATGTTTCCCGAACATTCATGCAATGAATTGTTTATTAAACCGAAACAAGCAAAACCTTTGAAATAAACATAAACTTTCAAATTCGGCACCGCTCTCAAATTCACTTTCATTGTTTACGTAAAGTTACTATATAACCCTTTGGTCAACACACTGCCATCAGTTTTGTGACGTAAATCAGGCTATTGTGACGTCTACTACTCTCGGGACTCTTCGTTCAACGAACGAGAACTATATTGCGGGAAAATTCACTAGGTGTTCCGAAAAGGTAGAATATGATGTAGCCTGGTTCCCTGTCCCTGTTTTGCTTCGTATTCTCTGCGTCACTAGGCAAGGATGAGACAGGGGACCAGGCTAAATATGATGAAAAGCGTGCCGACGACAGGAAATATGAAGTTTTACGGCCCGCTCACGTGATAACTTAGAACCGATTAGATAACGCGTTGTGTAGAATATTTATAATGAGGTATAATAATATTCATGATTCAACATTATGCAATCCATCATTAAACATTATTCATTTTGCATACATTATGCATTTCATCATTATACATTGTGGCATCCAACAAATTTACATTTGCTGTGTTTTTCTACAAACTACCAACTGTGAAATTGATTTGAAAACCATTTTCGTGTATACTCATGCAGAAATATACATGGAGAAACGGGCGTGAACGTGACATCACAATGTGGTTGCAACGACGTTAGTGAAAATGCAACGATACATGTATAGGGCATCGAGAAATTCAAATATAAGTTTAATATATATAAGTGTGCGTAGGCATATTTTTCATGAAGCGCGCTTCATGAAATATTTCTAATTGACAAGTCTGTTTGATTCAGATACCAAGAATTCACACTAAACTTAGGAAATTCAGTAATTATTCATTCAATATGCATTTCATCATTATGCATTATGACATCATTATACATTATTGATTTGATGATTGAGAAAGACAGACAAAATTATACTCTAACTGGGAACAGATACTACTGTATACAGAGTTATTTTCGCCCCATGTTATTTTCGCCCTTTCTCATTCGCAAAAATGTTCGCACCGCATTAAATTCGCCCAGTCAAAGTTTTGTTTAAGAAATTATACTGTATTCATTGAATTCAACCCGTTTTAACTTCGCCCAAAATAGGGTAGGGCGAAAATAAAACGGGGGCGAAAATTTCCCTGTTATAGTAAGTATAATGATGCTATCAATTCTATGAAAGCCACAATCGTCGCGCAATATCACATAATCTTACAATATTTGATCATTATAACTATATTTACTTGGTTAGTTTGTTTTGAATCCATGGAGCAGAAAAGAATTAAGATTTTAAAGAATTTATGCCTATTTACTATATATTCAATAGAGTCCGGTCCTAACACTAGAACCCCCTACCCTGCGTCCATGAAATTCAAAATTTTGGAAGAGACATTCTTGCTCATCATAACTATGTAATAGCTTAGTTTATTTAATGTCCATGTGCAAAGACGAAGATTTTCAAAGAATTAATTCATTTTCACTACAATATATAATCTAATTAACCCCTTCCTTGCAATAGAATTCTTACCCTGTGGCCATCGATTTTACAATTTTGGTAGAGGACTCAATGCTTATCACAATCATGCCATTAATTTGACCGCTTCATGTATAAAAGAATATATTTTTAAATATTGCAAAATAGTATGTAGGAGTATGTAATATTTTTTTAATATTGCAAAAATGTTTAGTGGCAGTAGCCCCTTTCCTCAGCCCCCAGGGGGACAGGGACAATGAAGTTCACAATATTTGTTCCCCTTCATCCATAGATGCAATGCGCAAAATTGGTTTATATTGTTTGGGCAGTTACAGAGAAGGAGCTGAAAATGTTTAAATGTTAACACAGGAAGAAAGACGACGGACAAAAAAAGACGACAAAAGGTCACCTGGGTGACCTGAAATTTAATTATTATTTACATAAAGCGACAAATTTGGAGCTTCTATCTCATTTGTCAGAGATAACTTTTCCATCTTATTAGGAACGTACTTGGGTATTTTCTTTTAATTCATATAAGGAATAAGTCTCGCTTTTTCGATTTCATGATATGGTCAATTGATTGCCTTGCATAATAATTTGCATAAACGCCGAAGAGGTACATGCATGAAATATACATGTTTTTGATTCCGCCAATCCACGTGCTACAAGCCCTGGTTTTGTCTTGCTATTTTGCCCACCTTGCACGTGTTTTTTTTTTCCCGGGCCTTTTGATGAACCAGTACATTCATGGAGAAATAACTTACATTTGTTATTTGTAATTTTATTTCGGAGAAAGATATTGGAAATGTAAACATTCAAGATTAACTAACGAAAAGAAGTTATACCGGCAAACCAATAGTAAACTGTCCACTAGCTCCTCTTCAACTTATTCACAATTTGAATTTTTAACATTTTAAATTCTAAAACTAAGAACATTTTTGTATGTTTGTTACTTCACTATTACCTTTCCAAAATAGGACAATTTTTGTCGTATGAAATAATTCAGAACCCCAAAGCATAAGCTTAATTTCTAGGATTATGTAATAAGCTGTCTAGAAATACATCAGATCCCAAAAGCACAACCAAGCCTACATTGTATCTAACAGATCATACATAAATCATATTGACAGACTTAACTACTCAGAGAGAAGAAGAAAAGAGAGATAGGAGCACGCATAGTACATTTTTATTAGTTTTACTGCATGACGTTTAGGTATAAGATCTAATTTTAAATAAGAAAAAATATAAAATGTATTTTTAGACACTTCAAAGGATGCTGTAAAGGATACTTTTGGAATGAAGATATGAATAACTGCACAGGTAGTAATAATGTGATAATAATGAAATGATCATCCCAGATAAAAGAAATATTAATATAATATCCACACATTTTGATCTTATTTTTACATATATATGTTACATCGACTGCATGATGGACAGTGTGCCAGTCTCTCATCTCCATACTACAACTAAACTGGAATAAAGAGTCTAAACAAATTTAAAGTATATATATATATATATATATATATATATATATATATATATATATATATATATATATTTCTATAACACACGTATAATAGATGAGTTCAAAGGCATTCTAAATCTGAGTAAAAAGTATAGCAATCATAAAAAATTTATATTTCCATTTCTAATTTTTCTCTGTGATAACTCTTTGATTTCTTGATAATTCTACCGTAATGTAAATAAGGAAGGTCGATAGGTCAGAAGTTAAGGAGGCCTTATATGCATGCAAATCTCGTGCACATCTGTCTCTGAGGTTAAGAAGGCTAAATATGACGTGAATGTCGTGTGGCTGCTTTTGTGTTTGACGTCAGTAGGCGAGGACAATTGAAATAAGCATTGGAGTCGTCGTGTAATTTAAATCTTTGTCTATTTTAAAGTCTAAATCTTTAAGTCTAAATCTACAATTTTATTTTACAATAAAATGGAAATATAAAGAATTACTGTCTAGTTAGTATAATATGCGAGGGACATTAACGATAGTGGGAAAGATGGGATAATTCATGAATAACGTGCTTCGCCCGTTATGAATTTTATCCAATGTTTCCCACCATCGTTGATGCCCTGAAATACTATACTAACCAGACAGTGATTCCTTAAATAATTTCTTGATATGTAGGCCTAATTTTAAGTCTTATAGTTTTTTCTACAACAAACATAATATAAATGAGTTAAGTGAAAAGTAGAAATTATATGATACTAGTAAGTTATTGATGTGTTAAGCGATATGTGCTCTTCTAGTAAAGTTTTCATTGAAATTGTGATCAAATTAATTCAAACACATTATTTTGGCTTACATGTACATAATATCAAATGTTAAGGTGTAAAATTACAGGGAGTCTGAATCTATAGAAGAATGGTCAATCTTGCATAAAGCATTGGTCTCAATCATGTTTTTTTTTTTCAAGTAAAGAATTCTTAAACAATTGTCAAGTTTTTAACGTGGTATATCAAGTTTTCATAGTGATCACTTTGGTACATGTAAATTTAAGTTTTAACAGTTATCACTTTACAATAAATCTAAGTTTTCATAGGGTCAAGGTTATCACTATTGTTAATTATAGTAAACTATAGAATTTTTGGTTCGAGTTGTTAAGAGAAAATAATCACTTGTTGTTATAAACCTCATTTTTAAACATTTATTAAATATTTTTAAATATCATAGAATTTTTGGAAGTCAACAATGTATGTTAAATACTGTTATGATATTGAAATTATAAATAAATATCTAAATGATATATATTGATACATATTCTCAGAATGCATGAATGGATACACAGGTGAAAACTGCAGCTTCCCTTGTCCCTTTCCTTTGTACGGAAAGAAATGCAGGAAGGAATGTCGATGCGATAATCTTACATGTGATCCAGCATCAGGATGTCTCCCAACTGGTATTTAAATTGTATATTGTTTTGAGATAACCATCATTGAAATTTTCTCCCAAATAAAAGACTCGTGAGATAAGTTCATGTTTATATAACCATCTAAATTATATACCCAAATGTATAAAGAGCGTTGATTGACGGAAAACTCTGTCACATAATCTTTTCGCCGAAATAACGTTGAATATTGATGTGGGTTGAAATTGACTCGGGGTTCAGTTTTCAACGTTGAATGAAGAACCGGGTTGATTTTTTCCGTTGAAAATTGAGACCACAAACAATATACGGGCATAAATCTTTGAAGTACTAAAAACTATAATTAAAAGGAATCTGTTAACATAATTCGTATCAAAGTTTTGAGAAAACAGTTTTTTTTATATATATTGCTAAATATGATAAGATCAATAGGTTCAATTATGACGAAAAAATCCGGAAGTGTTGAAACTCCAAAATGGCGAACTACGGGATTTTTTTTTTTCGAAAACAGCTTCAATCGAAAACTATCGAAAACAATTTCTGTGAGCAATTTAATTGCTCAAGATTCTATGAAAGTAATTTTTTCTAACTTTAGTAAAACTCTATCGTGATATTATTTTTCATTTTTAAACTGTATGGCAATATAAATTAGGGAGACTTTCATTCTTAACGTAGAACCTACGTCGTATGACATCATAACTAGAGAATGTGTTAAGCCAGTGCTAGATTCATTATGACGTCATAATTAATTCAATGTCACTTTTCCCCGTACTTTACAGCTTCAATAGAAATGGTAGAAAATACTGTATTTTGAAATTCAAAAATTTCAACTTAAAATCATGCCGAAAAAATCTTAATTCAATTCATATATTTATTTGTTTATAATGCTTAATGACAAAATATTTCTGAAATTAGATAAACCTGCAGGCACCTTTTATTTACTAGATCTTGACCTTAATTAGGTGGACAAATCCAAGACTATCTTGTGTAATGCAATTACAATGTATACAACTTACTGTAATATTTGAATGGAATGTAAAAATTTTGAAGGAATGCATAAAATCGTAATAAATTTTTCAGTTGCCTTCTAAATAGTGTCATATCTTGAAGAAATGTGTCTAAGTCAAAGATGTGCATGTTGTAGATCGTGTGATCGTGTATACATTTTTGTGATATCTATAATGAAATGTGCATTCCTTTTCAAAATTATTTGTTACTTATTCATATTCTTAGTGTTTTAATTACAATTTTTCTATTATATATGATCCTTTAAAATTAAATTACAATTTTTGATAATTATTTCAAATCTGAAAGTAACCCAAAACAGTAATTTAATATAAATTCCGTGTAAGTGCAAAAAGGTCAAGTATAATAGAATTACTAAATAGCCTATCTCTCATTAGTAAGAGGGAAAAGGTATATATTTTAATCACTTTTTTGTAATTATTTGGGTATGTTCTTCATCATATTAAAGATTGAAAACAATGTAACAAAGACTCCTAAAAAATATTTTTACAAATGTAGGGTGGAAAATTGATTAAAGAAATTGAGTTCATTTGCCTATTCTTTGTAAAATGTGGACTTATCAATTTTGTAAATTGAATAAAAAAGAAATTATTCTTAAGAAATATTGCTTAATATTGTTAAGTTAATAAAGTCTAAAAATGACGATGTTAGAAGAGGAATTTTTGTGACTTTTCATATTCTCTCCTTGACAAGTACCCCTAAAAATAACTGAAAATGTGTAGTCGCAGTATGTAATTACCATACCAAGTTTCATAAACTGTACTAGAGTTGTACTAAAAACAAGAAAACATCATGAGCTTTTAACTGATTGATAAGCAAATACTATTTATCATTTTGAAAAGTTTGAAAATCTTGTGAAAAAGACTTTTCCGACATAGGTTCTACCTTAAGACACATTATTTTTCAGAAAAATATTTTTACCAAAGTTGTAATAAACATTTTTTTCTGACATTTGTAGGTCCGATGCAGTCAACGGCTTCTAATTCAACCCAAAGCACGGGAATTACGATGCCGTACATGAATGCACCTCAAAAAGACGACAAAGTCAATCAAAATCTTAAAATTCTTATAGGTGTAATTGGATCATTTGCATTCATAATGCTCTGTGTATACGTGTATGTAACTGTAGTCTCTAAGGATTTGAGATCTACAGACCCGTTGATCACAGGGAATCATACTGAGGGTGAGGACAATTCGCATAATAAAAATCTGTATGAAAATGTCAACATTTTCGAAAACAGAAGCCATTCCGTTGGTTCTACAGGGAATGTCGAGATTATTCTAAGGCCACAATAACTCAACGCAGGACTCGATACTACGAACAATTCTATCAACACATAACTGTGTACGTGACGTCAATGAGATCATTAGATAATGAGGGATGTTGTTGGTAAAAGATTTAAGTTTGGAAACCTCTGTAACCAAACATTGTGATTGTTTTTACATGTAAGAGTCATTCTCTGTAATGATTTGAAATTTTATATAGGAGCTGTGGCACGCATAGTCTCAGAATTTCTCCAAACTCGCTATGATAAAAGTCATTGATACCCTGAACTGAAATCAGACAAAAATTGGTTGCTATGTTTTATAGTTACTATGGCAACATGTCTTCAAGTTCGAAAAAATGGAATTTTATTTTACATGGTTAGAGACCCATGGTTAACATTTGCTGCAAAGAAAACAATTGGCAATGACTATTTCCAAAAGTTGAAGGTCAGATGTCTCAAATGCATGATAAATATGTTTGGTAAATCAACTATTACATACGTTACTATGGTAAAGAGTATTCAAAAGTAAAAAAAAAAATATTCATTGAATTTTATAAAGTCATACACGTAAACATAAAAAGCAATTATAGGATGAAATGTGACCAAATAATAGAAAAAAGAGCCTTAAAACATATACCAAGAACAAAATATGATATTTCATTTTGGTTAGCAATGGTTTCCAAAGTTTTTATACCACAGAGAGCCTTCAAAGTAACACTCTGTATGTTTAAATCTTATCCTATCTTTTTAAAAAGCACATTTCCTCATAACTAATGATCAATTTTATAAGATGTTGGTGTTCTCCAAGTTTTCCAATTTGAAAAAAATTCAGATTAGATTCTTTAAATAGAGCGTTGCTATGGAAATAAGCAGAATATATATGCTTAAAAACCTGAAAATACTTCTTTCCTTGGGCACGTACCCTTAAATGTAGATTCCCAAAACTTTTATGATTGATATTTATTAACAGCTAACTTCATTTTTAATTTTGACTATCATCCAATCTCTAAGTGGATGCAAGAAGTTGGCACACAGGGTTTAATATTGATATAAAGTTCACATAATCGATCTTTTTCCCTTCTTGGTAACCATAGCAACAGTGTTGTTTTATTCATCAAATTTTTTCAATATATCATATTCAACTTCAGTTCTAACAGATAAGTACCATTCAAGCTGAGTCCTTTAATTTGTTTCTTGATTAAATGGCAATTTAATTCTTAATGCAGCGAAAAATAATTCACTCTTAAGCACTGGTACTTTGTTTCCATGGTAACACTGCAAAGTAGCAGGTATACCCAATTTTTCTTATGGTTTTGGTGTTGCAAGGTCCTAAAGATGCATGTTTGCCAGTCTTGAATTTTCATGTTTTTCCTCAAGACAGTAGCATTCACCCAATCTTAGTTACTAGTTTTGCATGGTTACACTGTGTTACCATGGCAACCAAAAAAGTTATTTATAGAATAATATTGCTTATACTTATATACTTAAGGTCAAACATTTTCATTTGTTTTTCTTAAGTTGTTGATTGAGTTTGAGCATGTAACACCTACCATTAGTGAATATGGAGTGTTTTCAGCATATTTCAGCATTTTAAATGTATTCCAAATGTACCCTTGGTTACCACTTACTTAGAGATATATTCTAAACAGTTTCTTTACAGTATAAGTGACATCAAGGTATCATGTTTTTGTGAGAATGGTTTTTCTTTTGTTATTTCTTTTTTTTTTTTTTTTTCTAGTTTTCATTAACCCACAGTCAAGTTTTAAAGTGGCTGAAAATCTCGATTTTTCAAACTTTTTCGACTGTTGCCATAGCAACCGAAACACATAACAATGAAATTTTGTTTGACATTTGTTTCTGGTGTCAAGTACTAAGCATGGGTGAAGTTTCATCAAAATCGGTGACCATGCGTGGCAACGAAGTGGTTACAGAGAATGGCTACTAGTATTAAAATGTAGATTAAAAAAACCAATTATTGCAAATATTTCATCTCATTTATATAAAGATTATCAGCATGAAGGTGTCATTTTAATGTTGTTGATTTTTTTCAAATAAATTTTTTGTTTGAATTTTTTTGTTTTCAGTTTTGGCGTTAAATTATTGCTTGCCTAAAAAGTCATTCTCATTTTGATTATTCTTCGTTATACCGTATTGCGGGTTATTTTAGCGGGGTGCTAATTTTGGCTTATTTTGACGTTTTGATGATAGTCCGCTAAAATTTTAATCGCTAAAAATAGTCAGTACTCTTCTTAATGTCAATTTGCAAAGAGCTGAAAGTCTGTGCCTGCTAAAATAAATTACGCCAAAATTATTGGCAAACCTCTGAGCAAGCAAAACGCCAAATTTTATACCCGCTAAGAAAACCCGCTATACGGTATTATACATTCTTGGTATACAGTGATAGGGATGCCCTTTCATTTATGCGTATATGTCTTTCCATCCTTCAGTCCGTAGGTTCGTAACACTTGGGAGTACCCGTCCCCGTCCCTTATCCTCGATTCTTTCACACTTCTTAATAATATTAAATCAGACTTTTAATGAATCTTTCTTAAATAGGGTCATTGTGACTCCTTCTTTAGATTTTGTTTTGACATATATTTGGTTTAATAAAGCAAAAAAGGACATTATCATCCTTTTTGAAATATTAGGGATACATGTTCCCATCTCTTATTCCCAACTCTTCATCTTCCATTGAATCTGATTAAAGAGTGGCATTGTGTACCTTCTATTTTATATGTTTATAGCGAACATACGTTTAGGGATTCCCATAGCAAAAGGTTCTTTGACATTATAATCAAATTGGAGTAAGGAGTATTATTTTGTGAGTTCATTGTTCTAAGTACGTCTAGCTTAAGCTAAAGTGAAACATAATTTAATTTTTAAAAAGTTGTTCAATATATGAATAATAATGAATAATACTTTATTAAAAGAAGGTAACCCGATTATTGCAAACACTAGTCTTCCTCAGGTTTTTTTTTTATAACACTATACAAGGTGTATCTACAATAAATACTGTTTCAAAACCGTAAACTATACTTAACACTGAAAAAAAGAACAATCATTTACTAATTGCAAAACCTAGATTATATGATAAATACAGTTTCACGATTTGTAAACTATGGTTTACAAATCTTAACTATAGTTAATGATATAAAAAGTTTCCAGATTTGTGAAACTATGATTAACAACTCATAATTATACTTCACGATTGTAAATTATAGTTTACAGACGTGAATCTATGTTTATAAACAAAATCTATTGTTAACTTTTTATTACAGAAAGATAAACTTGAATTTACATTCGTAAACTATATTCAACAACCGTGAAGTATGAGGGGCTATCAAAATGTTCGTGGACTAGCGCCATAAAATTTAAACCGCTTTAGGTACATAAATGGATTTTTAAATATTTAGTTATCTTCATCTTTTCTATCTAAAGATTAAACAACCAATCATAAATTTTATTTCTCAATAAATAAGTAAAGTTTTTGTATGCAATGGTATGTCTAGGCGGCACAACCTCGAAAAGACGTTATTTCTACCTAAGTGTAACTAAGATAAACTATTTTGGTTAAACATTTGACATCCAACAATTCCCTTAATTCAGGAATGTGCTGGACACTGTTTTTTACATAAAATATGAAATTTTTACCTCATTCTGAAAGGTCTATGAAATTGAATTGTAAATTTTACATGGAGTATCCAAACAAATATTGCCTTGAAAATGACGTCAATGGGGGGTGGAGGTCATTTTCCAACATTCTTTAAAATTTTGCCCCTGGAAAATCTGGTATACACTTGGGAAATGTTTAAAGTGGCTATGGAGAAAAAATAACACTCAGATTACTTGTTTTTATTGCCAAAATAGATTCAGAGAGAAAAGGGATGCAAAGTGAATATCGATTTGTAGTCAAGGTTTGAAAAATATATCACATCAAATAATGACGTGGATCATGTGTTTTAGCTATATTGAACTCCAAAAAACAAAACAATGCTGGCACAATCAAGCGCGGATCTCTCCCAATGTATATTTGCAATAATATTTGCACTGAAAGCTGCTGTTCATTACATTGTTAAGTCATAAAAACAAGACGGGTTGAAGTCCTAACTCACCTCTAGCGAATCTTATCAAAATAAGTGTACGAGGTAGAAGAAGCGGACTTTAAAAAAATCAAAGGCCTGAAGGCCTGAGAGGCGCATCGCATTGAAAGTAGAAGAAGTAGTATATTATATATTTCTCCATCAAATGTTATTGATTTCTATAATGTACAGCAGCAGCTTAATGTGTCCAATGCATTGTTTTAAAATTATTCTTTAAATTTAAAAGAAGCTATCCCGTGTCACAAGGAACAAAATAATGCATTGTAAATATACGATTATGAAAATGAAAACTATAGAAAGGGTTTTATTATACACATATTTCAGACATGAAATTTGAGAATTATCCACCACTGCTTAATAATTATATCCAAGGAGAAGCAGTATTTCTCTTATTATTCATTCAAAAGACTTCCCATGAAGAAGATAGCATTAAAGTAACATTGACCTTGCAGTTGCAGATTCAATGTTACACACATTTGACATAAGATGAATTAAAGTTTTCGATTCTATGTCAAAGTTTTCTGGTAATGAATCAGGCAATTTTTTTTCCATAATATGCCTATTTGTCAATTTACGAGCACATTCATTTATTTAAATGTTCAACGCACCTACCAAAAATGAATCAGGTGACCAATTTGCATAATTGTAGGCATCATGTTTTCAAGTTTTAATTTGTATATGAAGACAGACAGACAGTCTGATAACTACAAGATAAAATATCATGTTTCTAGTGGGTATGTAGAAAGGAAAAACCAGGAAGATTCAAATAGTGGTAAACTTTATTATAAAAAAAACTGTATCAAAAATGTTGTAAAATATTATCCCAAGAAATGAAGAGATTTCTTGGTATACATCATTTTCAAATATTGTTAACAAAAGTAAATAATACTGAAATAAGAACTGGTACATATCAAGTGATAAAAAAGATGTGTGAAGTGAATGGATTTCTTTAAGAAATAAAATGATGAAAAACAAAATAACAAATACTTTAAATGGGTGAACACAATGTTTGACTTAAAAAGCACCAACCTTTCAATAAATGTTTGGACAGTTT